TTTGAAAAGGCGATGGCTTTCAACTATCATCGGCTGTGCTCATTAAACAGGGTCAGCTCCCATTAAGCGCGGCATGTCTGCAGGCAGCAGCAGCTCGACGTAAGCTGATAAGCTGGAAAATATGCATAATATCAGTCATTACCCACACACATCCAGCCTCGGCATCCTGCAGCTCCACCGCTGCAGATGCTGCTGACACAGATAGTGGGCGGCCCACAGCAGTTAGCAACCTCTTTACTCTGCTTGATTATTTTTTTTAGATATATTTACATATAGACTGTAGAAGCGTTCGATTCACATGTCACCATCTTCTTTTGAGTTCTTAGACTTAGACAAACTTGGACAAAGAACATAATTTCAATGCATACAGCCTTTCAGAGCAGTGAATGAGCAGCATAGCAGTGAAATGAACATTAGCAGCAGTGATCAAAATGTAATCAGTGTAGGAGAAAAGGAAAACCAGTTTAAAGACATGGTGCTTGATATGGAAGGTTCAGAGCAGGGCAAAATAAATGAATAAATATGGTGCAAAATACAGTAGAACATCGAGTTCTATTTAAAGGGATTTGAAAATATATAATAGAGCAAATATGATGTGATCAGTCTGATGCAGAGTGTTGATTTGTGACTTGATTAGAGTTTCAACAGTCGTGTGGCTGTGGGGGGAAAAGCTGTTGCAGAACCTGTTGGTCTTGCAGTGGATTCTGTGAAGCCTCTTCCCAGAGGGCAGCAAGAACAACAGTCCATGGTGGGGGTGTGAGGCGTCGCTAATGATGTTACGGGCTCGGGACACACAGCGCAGATAAAATGTCTTTAATGGAGGGAAAAGGAGCCCCGATGATCCTCTCTGCTGTTCTCACCAATCTGCTCACGTTCTTCCAGTCTGAGGTGCTGCAGCCTCCACACCACACAGTGAGACAGCTGGTCAGAACGCTCTCTATGGTGCTTCTGTAGAAGGTGGGGAGGATGGGTGGTGGCAGGTGGGCTCTTCTCATCCTCCGCAGGAAGTACAAGCATGTCTGTGCCCTTCTGACCAGTGAGGTGGTGTTCATAGTCCAGTAGAGGGTGTCTGTGATGTGCACCCCCAGGTTTTTTTGTACTGCTGACCGCCTCTACAGCTGAGCTGTTGATGAGCAGTGGAGGGTGGTTTGGCTGGTTCTTCATGAAGTGTTTATATGAAGATTATTTAGATAGTTTTATTTACCTCTTGCTTTTGCATTGTGAGCACTTTTCAATTTATCTAAAAAAGTATAAGAGATAAATTGACCTCAGTTTAATTATCTTCAAGATAAAATTGGCAGTGATATTGTACCTCTGTTCAAAGTTAAATCCAACTTTAAACAGAGGTGGTGGACTCAGATTTCAGCTTCCAAAAACATACAATTCAGTTATAGAGATGATCCCTTCCAGATATCACCACACCCCCCACCCCATCACAGAGGAACGAAGCACTTACCCGCTCCAGCCGGTGAACAACGACAAACTCTT